ATTCCTCCCCCACTGACACCAATGATGGGGCACTATTCCTCCCCCACTGACACCAATGATGGGGCACTATTCCTCCCCCACTGACACCAATGATGGGGCACTATTCCTCCCCCACTGACACCAACCATGGGGCACTATTTCTCCTCCCTATTCCTCCCACTGACACCAACGATGGGGCACTATTCCTCCTCCCCACTGACACCAACGATGGGGCACTATTCCTCCCACTGATACCAATGATGGGGCACTATTCCTCCCACTGACACCAATAATGGGGCACTATTCCTCCCACTGATACCAATGATGGGGCACTATTCCTCCCACTGATACCAATGATGGGGCACTATTCCTCCCACTGATACCAATGATGGGGCACTATTCCTCCCACTGACACCAATGATGGGGCACTATTCCTTCTACTGATACCAATGATGGGGCACTATTCCTCCCACTGACTAATGATGGGGCACTATTCCTCCCACTGATACCAATGATGGGGTGCTATTCCTCCCACTGACACCAATGATGGGCACTATTCCTCCCACTGACACTAATGATGGGGCACTATTTCATCCACTGACACCAATGATGGGGCACTATTCCTCCCACTGACACTAATGATGGGACACTATTCCCCCCACTGACACCAATGATGGGGCACTATTCCTCCCACTAATACCAATGATGGGACACTATTCCTCCCACTGACACCAATGATGGGGCACTATTCCTCCCACTGACACTAATGATGGGGCACTATTTCATCCACTGACACCAATGATGGGGCACTATTCCTCCCACTGACACTAATGATGGGACACTATTCCTCCCACTTACACTAATGATGGGACACTATTCCTCACACACTGACACTACTGATGGGGCACCATTAGTGTCAGTGGGAGGAGTAGTGCCTCATCATTGGTATCAGTGGGAGGAATAGCACCCCATCATTGGAATACCATACTGAAATACCATACCATATTGATATCAAATCTAATGTTTTTTCATTTTTATTTGGTGTGCGTTGGAAGAGGGGTAGTCTTATACGGCGAGTATAGCTCAAACCCTATATTTTAACAGGAAAAGTAATGGGTCGTCTTATACGCCCAGTCGTCTTATACGCCGGCAAATACGGTATATATTTTTTTTATTATTTTTAATTTTTTATTACTTTTTTTTTTTTTTTTTTTTTAAGATTCTTTTTCATATTTTACTATGACCAAAGTAGTACAATATTACCATAGTAACATTGTACTACTTTGGGAAGTGATCAGTATTTTTTTTTTTTTTTTTTTTACACAATTTGCTTATAGCAAAGAATTACTTTGCTATAAGCAAGCATTTACCTGAATGACATCGATTCATTCAGGTTTTTTTTTTTTTTTTTTTTTGTGCTTAGCTGTGATTTGGCCACAGCTAATCACATGACATGTGCATGTGACCTGCTGTGACCATTCAGCTAGGCACTAGTATACAATGGATGGCATGAATGAAGCCATCCATTGTATACAACTGTCATGTGACCTGCTGTGATTGGTCACAGCAGGTCACATGGTACCGGCAACGGGGGCCGGTACTCAGATCTGTCATCGGCCGTGTCCGAGGTACACGGCCGGTGACAGATCGCGCCGCTGAGCAGCTCTGCAACTGCGCATGTGCGGGAGGATGCCAAATGGCGTACACCCCGGAAAGCTACAGCATTTTTGCGGCCGCCAAATGGCTATAGGCCGGGCGGCTAATGGTTAAAGTGTTACTAATCCCAGGACCCTGCATTCACTCTATCTGGTCTCCCACAGTACACACAACATGGAAATGCAATTATTTTAGTAAATATAAACTGGTAAATACCTTTTCTCATCAGCAGTTAGGGCAGTCTTGTGACTTCTATCAGTGTCCAGCAGAGCACATGTTAAAGCTTGTAGGAAGAGTTTTCTTTCTGCTCTAGGAGGATGCAAAACCCCTAACCTCTGTCTGGACAGTGCTGATTGGCCCTGTGCTGATCACATGCACTCTCCCCCCCAAAAAAAATAGTTCTAGCAATACACACTAAACTCAGCATGTGCAGAGTGTCTCCACATGATATGTCTTATAAGGAGATAAGAGGGAGACACTGGAAGAAGGGGAGGATCAGAGAAGTCAGGATCAAACAGCATTTTTAAACAATTCAGAGAATTAACCCCTTAGTTTCCACAGTGAGTATAAGAAGCATGTTTTACTGCATACACAGACTGATTTTACTGTTGTGGGTTTAGTAACACTTTAACATAGACTTTGACAGGTTACTGCAGGGGGGCTGAACATTGCACCTGACCCTCCCATATGGAATATAACACCAGATTCTAGTTGGCTCTGTGTGCAAGGGGCCATAGACATTGCTCTGTAGGTTTTGGACGTGGCTTTGTAGGTTCTGATTTTGCTTGATATTGCTCTGAACCTTGCAGGCATATTTATTTACTGCACGGCAAACTCTTGTTAGCCGGTGGGCAAGCCCATGTAGGTGCTTGGAGCATTTCTCATATACGGGAGGGTAATGTAAGGCATTGGACTGAATTTCATTCTGGGAACTGTGTTCTGTATTTCTAGTGCTCAGTGGTCAATATGTTTCTGTTGACTTTTCATATAACTGTCAGCCTGAATCCTTTCATAGCATGTCTCTGTCTTTTCTTCACTGATACCAGATTTGATGACCACTGAGAGAAATGCAATCCTCCATGCAGCACTATGTTACATTTCTGCAGAAGCAATTTCAGTAGCTCAAGGCACTGTTGCACCTGCAAGCCAAAGGTCCAGTCAGCCTGTCCCCCAATATCCTATGCCCAGAGCCCCCAGATTTTTGCATCTTAGCTCCCCTAGCCTCCAGTCTCCGAAACCTGCATCCTTGTTATCCATAGAAACTATCTCTAGAAATGATAACCCTGCCCTATGCCATGCATGATTTCTTGTCATGTTGTAGAGTGTATATCTATTTCCAGGTAAAGCATAGCAATGTAAGTGCCCTTGGTATATACTTCATCTGGCTCCAAACTGCCCGAAAGATGCCCTTGATCTATTTACAGAGATTTTTTACCTTGATTCTCCTGTCAGTCCTCCATCCTTCGATTCTCTGATGAATCCTTCTGCAGAGCTCCTGCGCCATTGTAGCCAGTTATTCTGCATAAGTATCTGCATCTTACAGGCATACACCGGTGCCCAACTCAAAGAGTGTTGGAAATGTAACTAAAATCTGCTAAAATCTCTGACTTTATACCATGAATTTAAAGAGATAGCTATTTTGCAGTGTCCTAGCCTACTGTTCTATGCACTGCATGTGTGATATTTAGTGTAAATTAAACTCGTCAGATGTATTTCAGTCTATCAAGTAATATTGAGGTGGAAGAATGGTCTCCAAAATTTGTCTGCAAGAACCTTTTCAATCATCCTAAGAACACTCCTACCAAGAGGAAGCCTCATCATACCCTTTTAACAGTTCAAAACCTGATCTTTAATGGCTGCTACAGGCTCTAGGTATAGATAGTCGAATAACAGGGTAGAGCTTAGTACTAATTAGGGCAAGATTTGGGCTCTGGCCAGACAAGTTTAGGCCTACACAATTCTGGACACATTGCCAGGAACAACAGTTTATTCATTTAAGCATCATTTGATATAGCAATCACCAGCAATGGGATACTAGGATGATAGGTAGGAAATACTAGAGGCGACGTAGCTTCTCATGATCAGACTTTATGTATTTATGAAGTATCAGAAACGTTATTTCACTGGCATGATCCAGGTGTCTGTGGCTGAATTGGCCTAGACCAGGGGTGGGCAAACTTTTTGACTTGAGGGCCGCAATGGGTTCATATATTGGACCCGGGGGCCGGACCAAGAGTAGATGAATGATGTGTATGTGTCATCCATGGTAAGTATAGTAATATTCCCCCATAGTAAGCATAGTAATTAATCCCCCATATAGTAATTCATCCCCCATAGTAATTCATCCCCCATATAGTAATTCATCCCCCATATAGTAATTCATCCCCCATAGTAATTCATCCCCCCTATAGTAATTTATCCCCCCTATAGTAATTCATCCCCCCTATAGTAATTCATCCCCCATATAGTAATTCATCCCCCATAGTAATTCATCCCCCCATATAGTAATTCATCCCCCCTATAGTAATTCATCCCCCATATAGTAATTCATCCCCCATAGTAATTCACCCCCCATATAGTAATTCATCCCCCATAGTAATTCATCCCCCTATAGTAATTCATCCCCCCTATAGTAATTCATCCCCCATATAGTAATTCATCCCCCATATAATAATTCATCCCCCATAGTAATTAATCCCCCCTATAGTAATTCATTCCCCATATTAATTCATCCCCCATATTAATTCATCCCTCATATAGTATTTCATCCCCCATAGTACTATTCCCCCCCAAGTAGTAAGCCAAGTCCCCCCTGTGTCAATTCACTTACCTTTGCTCCGCGCGTTCCTCTCGCCGTGTTCCCACGCCGTTCCGGTCTTCATGGCGGACTGTGAGAGGAGCCTAGCTCCCCTCCCCCTCACGTTCGTCACGCTGCCCCGCCTACACACATCCTGACAGCCACATTTGCGGGCCGGATTAAAAGGTCCGCCGGGCCGTATACGGCCCGCGGGCCGTAGTTTGCCCATTGCTGGCCTAGACTAAAGTAATACGTGGAAAACTTTGCACATTTATGTATCAGGCTGACAGGTTCTCTTTAAGCTAGAATGCAATAATTAATTGGCTTTGTCATACAGGGAACTGTTGCAGTAGTAACCATTTTGCCTACATACAGTATAAAGGTAATACAGTTAGGCTGAAGGAGAGACAATTAATGCCTGCAGAATCAGATGCATTCTTTCATTTTCTAATCCAGGCTAAAAACATAACAACTGACTGGAATCTGGTAATGCCAAAGTGTGTCATACATAATGCCACTATCCTAAATTATAGCTCTGTAACTGATTTGTGCCTGTTTGTTATTGTAGGGTGAACAACTGCGTTGGATTCTCAAACTATAAGTTTTTTCTGCTTTTCTTGGCCTATTCCTTGCTGTATTGCCTATTTATTGTTGCCACAGATCTACAGTATTTTATCAAGTTCTGGACAGTAAGTATGTTTACTGTAGGTGACAATGTTGTTCTAATCCTCAGCTTTGTGGTTATGTATCTTTTCAGGTTAGGTACCTACAGATATTGGTCAGCCATAGTTCTGTATAAAATATGCCCAAATCACTTTACTTTCCCAATGCCATGCCTCAGTTGCTGGAGTATCAACAATTCAAATCCTTCCAAATTCCGCTCCAAAACAAAAACAACTTTTCTCTTACATTCGTTGAAGTACACTGCTTGTCAGTATTCTTGACCATAAGGTTATAGCGCCACCTTCAGGAGTAGGACACCTGGCAAAAAACAACAGTGCCGCTTATGGGCAGCTCTGTGTTTTTCTGCCTAGTGTAGGAGTTAGGATTTAGCTCCCTGCTTGAACTCTTAGTTCGTTTTTTTTCTTCTTTGGATAGCTGCATATATCTCATTTTCTTAATTGTGACCACAGGGATTTTGTCTGATGCACTGTGATTTATTTATTTATTTTTTGACTACTTGGAGCTGATTCCAGGCTTGGCGCAGGCCAAGGGTTTCTTCTGCCAGACAAACTTTGTAAACTTTGGACTGCAGTTCGGTTGCGGTTGTCCTGCTGGTGGTGTTCTCTGTGGTTCTGCATGCAAGTCCTAGACCTCAAAGGGTCCACCTTCGAGGCAATCCCATATGCACAGTTCCATACGAGGGTTTTGCAGAAGGAAATCCTATGCAAATGGAACAAGGCTTCTGCATCCTTGGACTGACGGTTCAAAGTCATCCTTCTGGTGGCTTCAGTCCCAGTCTCTGCTGGCTGGAAAGTTGTTTTCCCTCTCCAATGGACAGTAGTATCAATAGAAGCCAGCCTGTCTGACTGGGGAGAGGTTCTGGGACTGAGGTTGGCCCAGGGCCGTTGGGCGTTTGGTAGAGTCTCAGCTCAATGTCCTGGAGCTACGTGCGATTAAACTGTGTCTAGCTAACTGGATGCAGCATCTTCAGGGGCACCCAATCAGGATTCAGTTGGACCATACCATGGAGGTTGCCTATGTCAATCACCATGGCAGAACAAGGAGCTCGGCAGTGGTGCTGGAAGCCTAACACATTCTTTGATGGTCAGAACTTCATATCCAGGCCCTCTCCATTGTGTCCATTCTAGAGTCAAATTCTGGAACTAGGAGAGTGGTCCCTGTACCCAGATGTTTTCCAACACCTCTGCCTATGGTGGGGCACTCCAGACATGGATCTTCAGGCATCCCAACTTAACAGGAAGGTGCCAAAATTTGTGGCAAGAATGAGGGATTCCCTGGCAGATGCAACAGACATGCTGGTGGCACTGTCGAGCCATTATCGCCTCATTTATGTCTTTTCCGCTCTCAAGCTTCTCCCTCACCTTTTGCATAGGATAGAGGTCGAAGGGATTATGGTCATCCTGGTGGCTCCAGATTGGCCTCGTTGACACTGGTGCTTCCTCTGCAAGAGGATCTCCTTTTCCTGTAAGTGTCCTTATTTGGTCTCCTGAAGACAGAACTATAACCCTATGGTCAAGAATACTAAATACACTCTTTGAAACACTTCCTCCTCCAAGATTCCTCCCTTATACAAGTCATCTCTCAACCTTATTACATCTTATTGAACCCCTCCTATCCCTCCTTTCTACATAATACTGAAAAATGGTCACAGGAGATGAGGACTCCCTTTGGTGTACCCAGCATATCCCCCCAGTTGCTGAGTGGGTCTCATAACTAACCTCCATAATGAGTATGGAATGTCTACTTACTGGAAAAATTATAAACAGGAGCTTTATATTCTTACCTCCTACTCATCCACAAACCACCATCGCAAGCAGTTCCACATTCTGGTAAATGGCTGATCATCATAACCCACTTGACACAAACAATTCTACTTTTCTACAGGTAGGTATTTTCAAACTTGGAATAAGGAATTTAAACAAAATATAACATGAAAGTTGCATATAGATATGCTTATTATTGGAAGACAGAGTCATTTTAGACACATATTAATCGCATACAGTTATTTTTGGTTCCCCAAATAAGGTAGAAATTCACGGATGCTGAATGACTACATGGCATAGGTTTTCCTACATGGTTGCAGTCAGATCTGGTAAAAGAAACCTGTCATTAATGAAACATTGAGGCCACCATTGCTGAACTCTCCTTTTAAAAATAATAGTAACTTGGCTATCATGTTGACCCTCAGGCTTCAAGACTTTGAATGACTCTCTGAAAGAAACTTTGAGACAGGAAATACTGACTTCACTGATTTGATATTCTTTTCAAGTTAATAACTCAGCAAGTATTATAAACAAAATGTCATAATTATAGAAAGACAACAGTAACAGACAAGAACTGCAAGTTATACAGGTGCATAGCCACATGTTGGCTGTCTCCAACCTTAAAATCTTAAATGGCAAAAGTGAAATTGCAGGAGAATATTGGTCTGTGAATATTAATATACAGTATCTGAAAGTAGACCTTTTACTATAGAACAAATGCTAAACTAATTTAATACCAGGAGCACCCCAAGTCATAAAACCTGGGGAGCTGTAATATGCAAATTCCAAACATTCGTAAAGATGTCCACAGCTTGCCCTCTCCCTTACTACACCACACTCGGCCAGTGATTTCTCACCTCATGATGACTTGCTTAAAGGCATGTAACAGCATCTCTAGATGCTGCATTTTAGACTTGGAATCAGTTTAGCATGTTTGTATGTTGGCAGGTGTACTCTAACTATGAACTGTCTGGAAATTCAGGGAAATAAGGATCAGTGTGATCTTTACAGAGTGTCTAAACACCCCCCCCCCCCCCCCCAAAAAAAATAAAAAAAATAAATTACAGCATTGTAGAGGCACATAGGCTTACAATTTCTTAAATATTTATGTGACTGAATCTACAGAACAAGAATACCATACTATATGTGTATAGGCTTAGAATCCACTAGGGAATATTAGAACTGCATACCTGTCACAGTTGTAACCAAGCATAGCAAGCATCTGCTCCCCATGGATTCGGTTGTAGTTGTAGACTGAAGCCTCCATCCCTTGTCCTGCTGCTCAACCTTGGCTTGGGTTATGTGGTCCAGGAATGTCTGAAGATCTTCCGGATCTTTGGTTGGCTAGACAGTGATCTATATGTCAGTCTGTCTCTGTTGGAGGGGGAACACAGAACTGTTTGTACAATTACTACTGAAGTTAATCTGTACACCATACATCTTCCAAATAAGATTTGGTTCAGTTGCAGCATATTGCACCTTTCAAATTACAAATTAAAATATGGTGGCAAGTGGACAGAATTGGAATTTTTAAAGGATTTTCTATGTTTAAAAAATAGATGACATAGTATGTATAGGCTGCTTCAGCAAATTGACAAACTCAGCTTTGGTATGTTTACTAATAGCTGAATCTTTACAGATGGCAGAGAACTGTGTATTTGCCTTGACAGACACAGATCAGATGCTTTTGCTCCAATTATCCAGAGATTTTATACAGATTTATTCCAACTTCAGTCATCCTTCTCAGGCTGCATTTTAGTTTGGTAGCCTTACTTTTTTTCATGCCCTCATTATGATTTTAGATCTTTCAGTCAGCACAGGACCAAGCATACTGTGTCGAATTGGGGGATTTGGTGCACAGGTGCACTACAATAATGCCTTCATAATTGGAGGGGCTTTGTGCTTTTCAAAAGCTCTCCCCTTCTCCCACTGGCACTATGGACAGTCCCTTGGCATCATCACGGACAATGTAGGTACCTGGATGAGGCAAGATTGCGATCATGGCCAGAAGCACCTTAGAGAGGAGGCTTTGCAGGACTGGTCGCACTGTTGAAGACACTTTGTCCAATTCCTGGAGTTTGTCCAATTCCTGGAGTTGGTCTTTAAATGTCATCAAGAATATATTGCTCAGCAAGTAATTTAAAATGTAAAAAGCCTGACCAAAAGACATTTAGCATTACAATAATAATTCATTTTAAATATTCTGTAATTCCACAATTCTTTCTATTCATTCTGAATTCTAAATCTAGCTGTATTCAGAATATGAACAGGAATAAGGTCTTTTAATTGTAAATCTTCCATTATAAATGCAGAATGTTCCATTCCCTAATGATGACCTTTGATTGCTCAGCAGTCTCTCTTGTGCTTGCACTGAAGGCTTAAAGGTCAGAACTGCTCTGCAGATAATGTATGTTTCCTCTACCCTTTTTGCCATCTAATGACTTTTCCTCCGTCTTCACTTACAGAATGGGCTGCCTGATACACAAGCCAAATTCCACATTATGTTTTTGTTTTTTGCGGCTGCCATGTTTTCTGTCAGTTTGTCCTCCCTCTTTGGCTATCACTGTTGGCTTGTCTGTAAGAACCGATCTACATTAGGTGAGTTTTAATTAATTTGTTTAACGAGTCTCAATGGACAACCAAGATGGAAATTGAAGCACAACACCACTGCTAAGAGGTCCAGAAGACTAGTTCATTTCAATCAAGCCCTGATGAAGGGACCGTTTTGTAGACCCCAAAATGCATTGAATACTTTTTGGATTGTCCCCTTGACTTTTTTTTTTTGGAATAAAGTTGTACCTGGACCTCTTGGCAGTGGTGTGGAGCTTCAATTTCATTTTTGTTTCATTAGACTACAATTCAAGGAGATTGTGGAGATTCTATGGGGTGTAGAAGCCACCTGCCCAAGAACCAGATTATTTATATCAATACTTTAAGATACCAAAACCAATAAGATAACCTTATGGGTCCTGCACTATTTTTCCAGTTTCCAGTGTATAAGCAGTCATTACCCAAATTTACTCAGAACCTCCCTCTCCCCCTCTAGAGCTTGTCATTTACTGTTGATGTAGACTTACCCTTAGAACCCTTATCTCCTAAGTGCCCTTTTCCTGCACACAGTGTTAGGGCAAGCTTTTGGGAGTTAAGGCAGCAGTAGAATGTGACAGAGAGTTGTGGGTAATAGGTGGAGTTCTGTAGTCAACCAGGCAGGGCTGACAACACTTTTTGGAATTTAAGTACAGAAGAGGCACTGTACTTAAGAGGCCAAACAAAGTTAGGAACACACTGGATTTTTGGCAGATCAGCAGGTATTTTGTTGTACTTTGAAGGGATAAAACCCTGGGAAAATGTGCATGTATTGTGGAGATGTACTAGATATGGTGTTTTTTAATTTGCCCTGACATACTTTTTTCTTTTTATAAAGTAACGTTTTATATTATATGGATTATTTGTTAAACATCATTATTAAATAAATCACATATAGGAAGGTTCATCCATTGATATTCAGTTTTCAAAGCATGTTGTAATTTCTAGATTTCAAGAAAGGCAAACTCTTTAATAATTAGCCTATACAGACTAATTATTAAAGATGTCCCTGGGGGTATCCCTTCTCTGAGTTATTTAGTTTTATGTTTAGCACAACAGCTACATGGAGCATAAATGAAATTTGTATATTTTTTTTTACACAAATAGTGCTTTCTTTTGGTGGTATTTAATCACCACTGGGTTTTTTATTTTTTGCACTATAAAAGAAAACAGACAGAAAATTTTGAAAAAAAAAGTTTTCCTTTGTTACTATTATAAATGTTTGCAAACAGCTAATTTATCTCCTTCACTGATGTGCGTTGATGAGGCTGCACTGATAGTCACTAATAGGCAGCACTGATGGACATTGATAGGCAGCACTGATGAGGCGGCACTGGTGGGCATTGATGAGGCTGCATTGATAGGCAGCACTAATGGGCGCTGGTAGGCTGCACTGATGAGGCGGCACTGATAAGGTGGTACTGGTGGGCATTGATCAGGCTGCACTGATATGTGGCACTGATAGGCAGCACTGAAGGGCCCTGATTACCAGTGTAGATGAGTTGCCAGTTATTGGCAGTACTTTCCTCACACTGTGAAAACATGAGGAAAGTACTGCCGATAACCGACAAGTGTATTTACATGGTGATTAGCTGTGATTGTACTAAGCTGATCATGTGGTAAAATGCTGCTGTGATTGGCCCTGTACCGTGTCATGTGATCAGCTGTGTCCAAAGGATACAGCAATCAGGGACAGCACCAGATATGCTCCACTGGGGCGCGCAGGACTGATTCCCTCCCTGAACTGGTTGACTTTGCTGCAGCCATTACTCGGCTATAGTGCGGTCAAGAAGTGGTTAAAGCAGAACTCCTGGCAAAATACAAAAAGCCCAGGTAATGCAGTATATGCATATAAAATATTGTTAAATTACTTATTAGTGTAAGTACCTGCATTTGATCAGCAAATTGTAATTCCCATACAGCAGAGTTCAACTGGGAAGGGCAACATAAGGAGCTGGCCTGGGGTGTTGCATGTCAATATGCTGACAAGGAACATGCTGACAGAAGTAGAGAGCAGAGAGGTCATCTCATCCTCTTTTGTTGCTGCTTCTGTGTTGATGCTTCTTCATGGTCCAGTCATTATGTTGTGGGCAGGGAGGTGACCAAGCTATATAGCTTAACTGCAGCAAAGATAAGTCAGATCACTGGCCTAGCTCTGCCATTTGATAGGTTTCTGTAAATCTTATGAAGATAAAACCAGCACTAGTGCACCAACCTAGTGCAGCAAAGTTAATTTAATCAACTGAAAAACGGTGGGGAAAAAAAAAATACACTCACAATGATATGAAATAGACAGTTATCTGTGGCCCAAACAGCAAACCACCCTGTAGAATTCAGGAGCCATCTTGCAATGATTAGTGGGGTGGGGGCAAAACACTGAATTACATCCCAGGAATGCATTGCCTTGGAGATGGACCACTGTGATACAGTAAGTGGGATAGGAAGAATTTACATTCTCTGCTGCGGGACACCAAGCTAGAATAATGTCACAGTGGATCCCACTTCAACTTGCCAATTACCATGTTTCTGAATGTGATTCAGCATTTAGTCCCATCACTGGCCACCACAATAGGGCTCCTAGTTTTCACACAGTTGATAGCTGTTGGCCCTGCTCCTGACACCATGATTATCATTGCCATGAGTGGCCAGAGTGTACTCCTGCCTCAACAAAGGAGGTTTGTGGAAGGGTTGGAGAATCCCATGCTTCTTTTTCATCTACTTCAGCAATAAGTACTCATAGGCCTTCAGAGCCCAACTCCCACTCAGCCTGTAGGGCTCAAACCCACAAGTGAGCTAATCACTTTGAAAAGCCTTCTGCATGAAGGTGCGCCCCTGCTTCTACAAGTAGGTGACTGTACACCCAGGTGGGTCCTTGGGTAGTTTGTCTTTCTGGCAGGTGGGTGATAAGAACACCCCTTTGAGCCCACTTGTATCTGTCTAAATGGAGCCTTTACTTCTGGAGTTGTACCCCATCTGGACTCCCACTCCCTCAGGAGATTCCTATATCTTTGGGTATTTTGTAACCTCTTGTGGTACTTGGTACCCCTCAGAATCCCTCCTCTTTAGAGTGACTCCTAGTTCTGGTTTTTCCTTGCCTTGACAAGGATCTGGCCCCTCAGTGTCCTTCAGAGGCACCTGCTATTTTTTGAGAGCACTGGACCTTATGTCTACTTTTTGCCCTTTCCTTGGCACCACTGGGGATGCTCAGACAACCTTCTCTGAAGAGCCAAAGAGGTTTAGCTTTTTGGAGATTTGCAGTCAGAACTCTTCTGAGGGAACTAATACATGCAAGCTTCATCCAGATAGGGCTGCAGCAGATGTCTATTATTCATAGCCATCATTCACTGGCAGACCAGGTTGTCCAACTTAAATCCTTGCTAAAAATAGTTTACGCCCTGTGTGTTATTGGAGTCTTAACAGTCCTTTTTTCACATCAGAGCCCTGTGAGGTGTTGCGGGAATTGTAGCATGGTCTTCTATTCTCTCAATTTCTTTCTATTCCTGGGGGTCTGTGCTTTAAGCAAGACATCCACATGGTCTCTAGGGACCAGGAAGTCTTTTTGAGTTAATAAGGTTATTTCTTCCCTCTAACCTGGGGGGACCCCTCTTGCTGGGGTGTCACATAACCGGGGCCTAAGTTGGGTTCCCCAGAAAAGATGGTCCTCTCTTCAGTGGAGAATCCCACTGTGAGTTGGCTTCTTGAGTTCACCTCTGGGAAACGTTGCGTGTTGCCTGGTCCCTATGCTGAGTGACACTGATGGTACTACTTTCAACCACACTGTCTTCCTTAGAGACAATGCATTGGCTCTCCTCAACCAGTGGTCTCCAATCCACAGGGAGAGGTTAGCACACCTTGGTGCTCCTCATCTCCTGCATCTTTGTCAGAAATCATTGCTGAAGGGCTCTGTGTTCCTCTGGATTGCCAGCAGGCAAAATATGCTGGGTTTCTGCTGAAGGTACCCCTTGTTGGAGGTAACCCACGTCCAGAGGCCTTCATGGGACGTGATCTGCAGGCTCTTGAGGTTTCTCCAAAACCATTAATCAGTTCTGCCGTTAATCAGTTGAATGTTCTTGGCTCAGGTTCTTGTCTCTCCCTCAATGACAATTAATGTTTTGCTAGACTGGAGCTGTTCAGGAGATCGTTAGAACCATGCTCTGTGCTTAAGGTTAGGCAGGTCCTGCAGAGTTCCTCTGTGAAGCTTCATAGACACCTCCAGTACAGTTTTTCTCTGAGGAAAGTGATATTATTGTTGTGCTATGGTCTAAATTACAATATTATGGTACAGCTAGGTGAAACTAAAACCTCACAGCCCCTCAGAACAGGGCTTCAATGGTCTTGTTCAGAAATTGAATATTGTTTCTTAATTTTATCAGTGATGAACAGCTGTCCTCAAAAGAGATGTTATCTCTGTAGACTTAATTTATTAATACTGTTTATGGCTACGTTCACAGCGACAAATAGGACTGGTGCATATTGTAGTGTTAGGAATCTGCAGCACACCACAGATAATAACTGACTGTGCAGAGGGCAGCAAATATCTGCAACCACTGGTGACCTGTCTTTATTTAGTGAATGGGACCAGCAGCTGCACCTAGCTGCTACGAATCTCTTATTCCTGCCTCTAAAATTCACACTGACTGGCCCTAATCGCCAATGTGAATGTAGCCTAAGGAACAGTAATCTGAAAATATTGACAGCACTTAATCAGAGATTTGCTAGTTTTTTGTGATTAATTATTAATACACATAATGCAGCATCATATGAATAATTTTGCCATACTTGTTGCAGTCATATATAATATGTTATCAAATGGAACTGAATAGCTACATAGTTACATAGTTAGTCTGGTTGAAAACAGAGAAAAGTCCATCCAGTTCAACCATTAAAAAAAAAAAAAGATATAATCCTATACCCACAGTTGATCCAGAGGAAGGCAAAAAAACCCACTAAAGCATGATCCAATTTGCTCCTGCAGGGAAAAATATTCCTTCCTGATCCCCCAAGAGGCAATC